AAAATTTCTTTAATAAAAATTAAGTATTTATTGGCAAAAACTACATAATAACGTCTTATTATAACTAAACCTTTACACAAACTCTCTGAATGGAAGCAAACAAACAATATTAACCTCCATAAACAAAATTCACAAACTAACACCACACAATCAAGCCTATTTCTAACACATAATTACTCTAATTCAAATGAAGTTACCTGCATATGCAGATACTCTGAAAAACATCATAAAAACTCTTTATGTCCTTCAGAAGGACTAGCCCACTACAAACTAGATATTTGGTCTGTCGAATAGATTAAATATAGTATCCCTACTAATAATATCATAAATATTCAAATCTAGGTAAGCTATGATCACTTTAGTAGGTTTAGATCGCAGATAAATTAATCTGAGTTTCAAATCTTGTCATATAGTTTAAGATTATACCTTGTTATACATAGTATTTAAAAAATTTTAACTGTAAATTTTTAATTAAACTATTAATAAAGATAGTAATATAGCCTCACCTTAGCTTTGCTAAAAAAAAAAAAAAAAAAAAAAAAGTTAGTAGGTCTGGTAATCTTAGTATAGTGTTAGATTGCCAGACTACTATATAAGAGGTCTGAGGTTCAAATCTTATTGTCAATGAATTTGAATAATTATCTAAACCTTTGTACCTAAGTTACAGTAAACTCTGTTCGTTTCTAGAATTGTAACCCTGTAAATCATGTTGTACTAATATCAATCAGATATTGGAAGTATGACATAATGCTTGAAAAGATGTAATATTACATAAATAAATCTTAATAGAATTTATAGGCAAAGAATTTGCATAGTCAAAATTTTGAGTTTAGTAAAATAGTACGAATTTCAATAGTCACACTAGTTAATGCTTAATCAAGTAGTATAAAAAATGCAGATTAAGTAGATGCAAGTAAGTTCATTTTATAGAGAGAAATGACAACACCAACTTGGCTTAGTAGCTAACTAGATTTGGAAGAATCTCTTTATGAAACATTTAAAGAACTATTGGTGGAGAGCTATAGTAGGAACTAGGTTCATATAAATATCAACAAAGATACAAATCCCTAAATAGACTATGAAATAGGCACAGAATATTTTAAAGTAGAGGCCTAGTTCATAGGTAAAGTAGCCTATAGTTCTGAATATGCCATATATTTAAGTTGGTATTGCAGAAAAAATATTGAAAATCAGAAAGCTTAATTAGAAAATCCACAAGCAAATCTTAGATATGGCAGTTAGTAGGTAACCTTCAAGCAAAACCTTTAAATAAACAATAACTAAAATTGTATATGTAGCTAATTGTGGCCTTATTGATATACAAAATATAGTACCTCCCTATCTAAGTATAGGTTGTAAGTCTTAAATAAATAAATACTGAGATATAGAACTTCCTCTTTAAACAGTAAAAAAAAAAAAAAATAAAAAGTTAGTAATTATAAAATTTTTTTAGAATTTAAAAATTTTATATATATTTATATATAAAAAATAAAATAAATATATGCATTGCATCCTGTGATATAGCTATACATCACATGTATATAAAAACATAGTTTGCAGATCTGTGTAATATAATTTTTTTTAATAAACTAAATCCCTATTTAGCTTAGAGTTAGAGTGAAAGTTTAATTAAAGTTAAACTGTTTTATAGTAAAATTTAGCAAAGAATTTTTTTAATTAAAATACCAAAGGTAGTTTTATAATCAAAATTTTAAGCTATTTGTAATTTCTTTAAAAAATAAGCAAAAAAACAAAAATTTTACATTACACCTGATCTTCAAAACAAATGTAACATTATATCTAATTGTTAAATCTAATTGAATAAATTGCTAAATGCAATGTATAGCTATATTACAAGATGCGATATCTAATTAAGTTCTAAAAAATAAACATCTTAATATATATTTTATATTTATATTATTTAAAGGAAATTTATAAATAGCAACCTATCGCTATAGGGACTCTTAATATTAACTAATTTTTTGTAGTAGTAGTACAGTATGTATCAAAGTAGCTCTATTATTATATATGTGTATGTACATAAATCATGTGTTATAACAAACTTTTTTTCATATTATAGTGTTATAGTAACACTTTTACATTTGGGACTTGCAAAAGATAATCTAACACAATCTTAATATGTACATATAATGATATCATATTTAAAATCTTTAGTTTGAAATCTTTAGTATAAGCAAAGCCAAATTAAGTTTAAAGAATGAGGTATAACTAAAGTGAATCAAAAAAAAAAGTATCGACCAAAAAGGAGCAAAAAAATTAAAAAAAAAGCTAAGACAAACCAAAAGCTATCACAAAAAAAAAGCCAATAATAAACTAAGAAAAAAAAAGGAGTGAAGAAACAAAATAAAAAAAGACAGCAAATTGAAAGTGATTCCAACAAAAAAAGAGCACATATTGATTAACATTAATATTTAAATTTAATAACCTACCTTTCAGTTTCATCACTCTTATCAATATCTAAAGGCTTTTTTTCTTTACAGGTTTTACTATTATGACCTTTTTGCTTACATACCTTACACTTATATTGAGTTTTAGTATTAAAATTTTCTATAACACTCTTAATTCTTTTTGAATCAGATTTTTTAGGATGATCTTTTTGTCTTTGTTTAATAGAATTTTGAATTATCTTACTATAATTCTCACAGTTAAGATTACTATTCATATTATTATTATTAATTATTCTTTTTTAGATTAACAAAAAAAAACTGAGAGCTCATTATAAATATCATCATTGTTATTCTCAATTGTGTTAACTATTATCTTTCTCTCCAATCCCCAAAGTTCACCAAATTTACATTTTTTTGAAATAGCTTTGGATATTTCATTAGGCGATTGTTCTGAAACAACTTTGTTTGCGAACTCTTCAGTTCAATTAATATTAAGCTCGGATAAATGTAAAAATTATATTGGCAAGATATGCATCTTTGATGTTGGTATTAATATACCTAAAGAAACAACTACAAATTTATTATTTGATATCTCAGTTCCCTGTAATCCGTCCTTATACCAGTGCCTATTTACCAATCTAATAAAAATCTTGTAGTTAGAGTTAAGGTTATTATATGATAAAAATGATGACATAGATAGCTATGAGATTTGCTTATTATACATATACAAAGAAAAGTAACATTGTTTAAAAAATATAAAAAATAGGAGGTGCCAGAATTTGCTAAGTATAAAACTTCCTATACTTCAAGAATTATTGAAGAATTAGTTGTAAATAAGTTTAGTTATACTTGTAAGCAGTCAAATAAGTTATTAATACACCGATCTGGTTCATCAATCTCCTAAAAAAAATATCAAATAAATAATCTCTTATCAAATTAAAATAATACCAATTTAATTCTTAGTCTACATAATATTTAATTAATAAAATAAAGAAAAACAGAAAAATAATACATAATAATATCGCATAATGGAAAATACTTTAATTTCGTTAGTTAAATTAATATATATTAGATTTATATAAATTTTAAAAAATAAAAAAGGAGAAAATAATACTATAGTTAATTTAATGTCTATTAGTTTATATAAATTTTGAAAATAGAGAAAGGTAAGATTATTTAAACACAGAATTAAATTGGTTTGGCTTAAGCAGAAATAATATTACAAGAAACTTACTAGAGG